CTCTCATAATTACATATAATAAGGTTTTAGTTTTCCCTTGTGAAACACTGATTGTGATCTTTGCGTGTGTGTGTCTAGGTGAGTGATAAGATGGATCCAAAGGAGCTAGTGAAGCTGATTGAGATCTTGAATGCTGACAACAAGCCTGGAAGGATCACTATTATCACAAGAATGGGAGCAGAGAATATGAGAGTGAAGCTTCCTAATTTGATTAGAGCTGTGCGACGTGCTGGACAGATTGTGACTTGGGTCAGTGATCCAATGCACGGAAACACCATTAAGGCTCCTTGTGGTCTCAAGACTCGTCCATTTGACTCCATCTTGGTATGTTTTTACATAAAACTTTCCCTATTGATTATTAAATGTTTTACTGTTTAGGTTTCTTTTGGTCATTGCAAATGATAAAATGGATGAATACATAGTAATAATTTAATTTTTTTCCTTCTTATCTACTAAACTAGTAAATGTTAGTAGGTGAGATAGCGAAAGGTGACAAAAAAAACAGACTTTGGTTTGGCCAAAGTTGACAACTGCTTTTTCGAAAGTTAGGTGGTCCTAAAAAGAAAGAATGAATTTACCAACTCAAGCACGTGTCCTCAATCAATTTGTTATACCCATTTATTGTTGAGTTAATTCATAAATTTTAAATTAGAATAGATGTCATAAATGTTTGATTTTGATTATCTAGTTGTCGGATTGGTATATACTATACAGTATCAAAGCATATTGGTTATGTTCTATTATTGTTTCAAATAATTATTTGATTGAATTGGAAAATGTTTACTATTTAGGCTGAAGTGAGAGCATTCTTCGACGTGCACGAGCAAGAAGGGAGCCACCCGGGAGGTATTCACTTAGAGATGACAGGTCAAAACGTGACCGAGTGCATCGGTGGTTCACGCACAGTCACGTTCGATGACTTGGGCTCGCGTTACCACACGCACTGTGACCCTCGCCTTAACGCCTCTCAGTCTCTCGAGCTCTCTTTCATCATCGCCGAACGCCTTAGAAAGAGACGCATCAAGTCCCAACAGGCTTTTGCCGTCTAATTTAAAACAGACATGTGCTAATAATATTCTACATATGAAAAAATGTGTGTGTCAATGTGTGTGAACTCTATACGATCTTGTTTATCTTTGATTCAATCAGTGGGTCTAGAACGCGTAAGGTTTTGTTTTATTACTTTTCAAAGAGTATTACTTCCATTTTGGGATTTAATAAAATCATGAACGGTTGGATTTTATGCGTGTTGTGAATAGTTTCGTGTCTTGTTTATACTATTATAGATTTGATAATATTGTTGGGGAAGAAATAAAATATTCGTTTGGATCCCCTGACATCCTTACAACGCATGTTCCGTCTGAGCTGTATTGTTATTTTGTATGAGTCGTTCTCTCAACTATTGCAAGTATGATAAAAAAAGATAGACGATTGGTCTTCTCAGAGTTATATCACTAGTAATCGATATTGTGACACTTATTTTAGTGTTTTTGAAAGACGATTGGTCTTCTCAGAAGAATGAGTCAATGTGTTGTAAATTGTGTTGTTGAATAAGTAATATGGATTATAGTCTATAGAACCGAGTCAACCGACGTATATAGTTTCCTTATATAATTACCAACTTTTAGTTTTCTTATTTTGTATGTTTTTCTTTTCGTATTAGGCTTAGGAGCTAGCTTTAAGCTGTGTAAACAGATTGTCCATAGGATTGAAGTAACACAAGTCGATATTTGGCTATTCATATTCTATCATTGTATCAGAGGAACAAACAATTATCTCTTGATTCCTGCGGCAACAAAAGCGTTGATAGTTTCAGCGACTAAATATTTTACTTCAACGTTGCTAATATCAATGTTGGATTTTAGAAGTAACTTTCAGTGATCACTGACCATTATCGTCATCCAACCTTCTAATGTATTCACATCGTTTATTTCTTTTCTTTTTCTTGTATATCCTCTGCTGATACAACATTTTGATTCATTTGTATGACTTACGTTTGTATATCTACCCCCCCCCCCCCCCAAAAAAAAAAAAAAACATTGCATGAAAATTATCAGGCTTTGCATTTCCCGACAAATATAATGGTTGATAACATCATTGGGTGTAAAGTGCAGCAAATGTTTATCTATAATCTCTGAGGGTGGATTTATTAAAAGGGTGGATAAGTGGGCAATGGGACAAACGATAATGATACTACATCTAATGAAGGTTATGTAAAAACAAAATCGTTGAATAGGTCAAGCTAAATCATTGCATCAACTACAAATGTGCTTTAACAAAAAAAAAATCAACTACAAATGTTCATAGCGTTACTCAATCGAATTGATATTTTCGTCAGCAAATAACTAGAAATACATAAGAGAAGATAAAAAGAGTTTTTTTTTCATGTACATTTATCTTTGGATATTGATATAAAAAAAGAAATTCAAGCTAAATATTAACATTTGTGGTTTTGAATTCGTAGAGAGTTTCAAAAATTTCCAATGATCTTAAATAAAAAACACCAAACTGAAAAATTCCAATGATCTTATATAGTTGACCGGTTATGATATCAATGATATGAAAAGATTTAAACAGAAAAGGTCTCGCATGGGTCTCAGTCATAAGAGTTCTGGTGGGTCCGTCCATGTTTGGAAGAGGAGTAAGAAGTAAGTACGAGAGCAGATAAAACCTAACAAATTTTGCCACAAATAGCAACCTTAGACGTTTGCAGCCTGATTGGATTCAGTTGCGAAATATTATTTTGTTCGAGTGAATTTCATGGACAACAAAGATGGTTTGGATGTAACATGAATCTGTTTTTGGTATTTTATGTTAAGTTTAGTAGAATTACATGTACACGTGATAGGAAATGTGACCTAGCTTCACAGTGAGTCTTGTGTTTAACTACATAACTTTTGAGGAAATTGTTTTAAAAGTTTGTGTGAGAGAGAGGAAGAGAGAAAGACGTAAAGAGAGAATTAAAAGCCTTTAAAGACAAATAGATCTGGATAGACAAAGTGAGTGATGGAGGGAATGAGTGAGAGAGAGATAGAGGGATATAGGGAATGAGTGAGAGAGAGAGAGAGATTGAGGGAATGAGTGAGAGAGAGAGAGAGATTGAGGGAATAAGTGAGGGATAGGGAAAGAGTGAGCAATGGAGAGAGGGAGAGAAAGATAGGTGAAACGCAAAAAGGAAAATGTATGAAAGACAATGAAGACAAAGTAGAAGAAGGTAAAAATGAGGAGAAATACAAGAAAAAAAAGACAAAGACGACAAAGAAGAAAAATCAAACGGTATAAAATGGGGAAAGAAAGAAAACGAAGAAGTACATTTATCTTAATTTAGTTGGTTATAGGTTTCATACACTTATTTACTTTTATTTTTTGGGTTTTTAGTTTTGGATGGTGTTTACTTTTTAGGATTAGTTATGTTTTTGATCTTGTATATCTTAAATGGGTTGTTCTAATTCTTTTAGGTTTACAATTTTTAAAGTTTTTTTTAACGTTTTTGAAACTTTTCGGCATGCGCAAGGCACGGGCTAAACACCTAGTTGATATAAAAAAAGAAATTCAAACTAAATATTAACATTTGTGGTTTTGAATTCGTAGAGAGTTTCAAAAATTTCCAATGATCTTAAATGAAAAACACCAAACTGAAAAATTCCAATGATCTTATATAGTTGACCGGTTATGATATCAATCATATGAAAAGATTTAAACAGAAAAGGTCTCGCATGGGTCTCAGTCATAAGAGTTCTGGTGGGTCCGTCCATGTTTGGAAGAGGAGTAAGAAGTAAGTACGAGAGCAGATAAAACCTAACAAATTTTGCCACAAATAGCAACCTTAGACGTTTGCAGCCTGATTGGATTCAGTTGCGAAATATTATTTTGTTCGAGTGAATTTCATGGACAACAAAGATGGTTTGGATGTAACATGAATCTGTTTTTGGTATTTTATGTTAAGTTTAGTAGAATTACATGTACACGTGATAGGAAATGTGACCTAGCTTCACAGTGAGTCTTGTGTTTAACTACATAACTTTTGAGGAAATTGTTTTAAAAGTTTGTGTGAGAGAGAGGAAGAGAGAAAGACGTAAAGAGAGAATTAAAAGCCTTTAAAGACAAATAGATCTGGATAGACAAAGTGAGTGATGGAGGGAATGAGTGAGAGAGAGATAGAGGGATATAGGGAATGAGTGAGAGAGAGAGAGAGATGGAGGGAATAAGTGAGGGATAGGGAAAGAGGGAGCAATGGAGAGAGGGAGAGAAAGATAGGTGAAACGCAAAAAGGAAAATGTATGAAAGACAATGAAGACAAAGTAGAAGAAGGTAAAAATGAGGAGAAATACAAGAAAAAAAGACAAAGACGACAAAGAAGAAAAATCAAACGGTATAAAATGGGGAAAGAAAGAAAACGAAGAAGTACATTTATCTTAATTTAGTTGGTTATAGGTTTCATACACTTATTTACTTTTATTTTTTGGGTTTTTAGTTTTGGATGGTGTTTACTTTTTAGGATTAGTTATGTTTTTGATCTTGTATATCTTAAATGGGTTGTTCTAATTCTTTTGGGTTTACAATTTTTAAAGTTTTTTTTAACGTTTTTGAAACTTTTCGGCATGCGCAAGGCACGGGCTAAACACCTAGTTGATATAAAAAAAGAAATTCAAACTAAATATTAACATTTGTGGTTTTGAATTCGTAGAGAGTTTCAAAAATTTCCAATGATCTTAAATGAAAAACACCAAACTGAAAAATTCCAATGATCTTATATAGTTGACCGGTTATGATATCAATCATATGAAAAGATTTAAACAGAAAAGGTCTCGCATGGGTCTCAGTCATAAGAGTTCTGGTGGGTCCGTCCATGTTTGGAAGAGGAGTAAGAAGTAAGTACGAGAGCAGATAAAAAGAAGCAATGAGGAAGATGACTAAGAAGTTTGTCAAATAGAAAAATGGAGATTACAACAGAAAACAAAAAAACAAAAGAAGCAAAAGTTACAAAAACTTCCCTCCTCTCTCTTATTCCTTAAACGAAAAACAACAACGATAAAATGAAAAAAAAAAAAACAAACCCTAATTGAAGTTTTGGAGACTGTTGGATGGTAAGGTCGCCGGAGCCGGTGGTGGAAAGTTTATGCTCGGATAAGAGGGCAAGTTTAGTTCCCAGGAAGGCACCGTCCCAAAGAGTTCTGGTGTAATGAGCATCGACAGTTGATCGTTCCGGTAGTTGGGATTCCAAGACGGTACAGTCGCCGAAACTGGCGGTGGGATATTCTCCGATGGTAGATGGTTATGAGGATTGGGCCAACTCGGTAGATTTCCTGACAGCATAGTCGCTGAAACTGGTGGTGGCATGTTTTCCGATGGAAGATAATTCTGAGAATTGGACCAGTTTAGTAGATTCTCTGACGGTATAGTCGTCGTAACTGGTGGTGGCATCTTCTCCAAAGGATTCTGAGAATTGGACCAGTTTTGTGGCATGTTCTCAGATGGTGGTAGATGGTTCTGAGAATTATGCCAATTTAGTAGATTCTCGGATGGTAAAGTCGTCGTCGCCATCATTGGCGGTGCGATATTCGCCGATTGTAGATGGTTCATAGACGGTAAAGTCGCCGGAAATGGTGGTAGAAAATTTTCCAATTGTATACCATACCTGGATGGTGAAGTCGCCGTAACTGGTGGTGGAATGTTCTCCGATCGGAAATCGTTCGGAAATTCGGACCAGTCTTGATTCCCCAACGGCAAAGCCACCGGAATTGGTGGTAGAATATCATCCGATGCTGGATGAGTCGGAAAATCATGCGAATCTGGAAAATCGGACGATGCGTTCGCCGGAACAGGTGGTGGTGGAGCGTTCTCCGGTTGTTGCTCATCATCACTGTTTAGGATCGAAGTAATAAACGGAGACCAGTCGGAGAAATAATCCAGGCTCGGGTCGTCTTCCATCAGCTGGTCCTCCAAATTCTCCATAAAAGCAGCCAACGTAGCTTCCATCGAATCTTGCTCTCCGGGAGAAAGCGGCGGCAATGGTGACGGCAGCGACGGTGGAGACGGCGGAAACGACGGTGGAGATGGTGGTTGAGTGTTGGGTAATTCAACTGTTGAGGCGTTGGCCGTAATCGGAACCGCTGGGAGTTGATAAGGTAGAGGAGGGATAGGAGCGTCCTTTAGCCTGATTGGCTGGGGATTGCTAACCTGAGCCAGCGACGGTGGACACGGTGGTTGAGTGTTGGAGAACTCAGCTGTTGAGGTGTTGGTCGTAATTGGAACCGTTGGGAATCGATAGAATAGAGGAGGAATAGGAAGAACGTCGTTTAGCCTTATTGGCTGGGAATCGCTAACCTGAGCCAGCGGTGGAGGATAGGGAACATCTTGATCCGGCGGCGGCAGCGAGCTTGGGATAGTGGCGGTGAGTCTAAGGACTAAGTCCTTGAAATCGGCTTTGTTATGGGCTACGTAGATGGGACTGCCGTCAGGAGTTTTGTTGACGTACTTGGGTTGTTTTGATATCGGACGGGCTTGTCTCATGTGACCATCCTTTGGAAACAAAATGGAAGGTGTATTATAAAACCTCATCTTTCTCTCTTTTTTTTCTTTTTTGTTTTTGCTTTGATTTTTTTTTTTTAACTTGTGTGTTTAATCTCATGAAATTACCAGAGATATATATAACAAAATGTTTTCATATCTACACAGGGTACCATTAATTAGATTTCCAAGACACACCTGATGTTTTGAAATGTGATTCAGGGTTTAGCAACCAAATTATGTTTTTCTGTTTTTCTTAATTACTTAAGGTAATCTCATAATTTCACACAAAGAAAGTTGACCAAAAAAATTATGCGCTAAGAATTGTTTGCATAATTAAAGTATTGCCAATGCTATTTGACTGTTGTAGTCAACTAGTCACAAACACAAAATTAATTTTTGTGTCTATTCAAATAGATGGTATAGGAAAGGAAATAAAAATAGTCCAATCAATCAATTGCATTTACGTGCATATATTAATTTTTTCAAAATGCTTTATGGTTGCTAAATTTTTTACCAATTATAGTTTTTTGTCCATAAATGACAACTTGTAGATAGAGTTGGGGATTAATTTTAACTACCAGGAGTCAACCTATTACAACGTGGCATTTACACTCGCTGAAAGGTTATATCCATAATCCATATATGTTCCCGCTTCTTGATTAAATAAAAATCTCTGCTTCACACAAATACATTCAGCGAATTCAACTTTCGATTCTTCTTCTTTTTTGTTACTGTGGCAGTTTCAACCAATGATGGTAAAGGTCCTAAAGGACCAAGAGAAGAAATATCATAACGGGGAACCGAGCAAACATGTGGATTGGATAATGAATGTAAGTGAGAGCCTAACCAAACCAGTGTCGCAAATGAGCCATTGTCAATAGTCTAGGCCTAAGAGCGACAAATTAACCAAAAAGGTTTAGAAATTAGAACCATCTAACTAACTCTTTTCTGCAAGTATGCCTTCTCAACATTGAGATAACGTCAACATATGCTTTCTTACCCTTAACACTCACACACACAGGCCTAATTAATCTAAGAGCAGAATAAGAATATACACGGAAATTGACAAGTTATTCCCTACATCTCGCCAGAGGTTAAGCACCCTAGTAACTGATTTACTGCACAGATACACAGATTCATTCGTCGTACCTATATAAATTCGAAGTTTTGTGTGTTTCTTTAAACTCTATGTTTTCTGTGGTTCAACATTAGAGACGGCCTTTACCTAAAACCCAACAAGCTTGCTTAAGCTTTAGGCAACAAAAATATATTTTGAAAAATATTACTTCGTATGATGGTAAAACCCTAAAACTACTTTGTTTTGGTTTAGTTTTTCTTAAGTTCAAACCTTGGTAATACAAATTTTTTCTATGGGCATGTTTCTTAAATTTGCTTTAGGCTCCAAATTACATTAGACCGGCCATTTTCAAATTTATGATCAAGAATCTCTTTAAATTTCTTATATATTGTTATTATGAATCCATCATCATTTATTAATTGAGATACTTGATATATATACACTTATGAGGAAAATATTAAGTTTACTGTCCATTTTTTTGGAGATATAAGTGTTTTAAGTTTTGATCCCTCTTAATACTTAGAGAATACTCAAGAACATGGACACAACTTAATCTAGTGATCGTGGGCTGGTGGTAGTTAATAAGGGGCAAGGTGTCAGTTGGTTCTCCCCTGGTTTGATTATTACTAAAAAAAGGAAAAAGAAAAATACGCATGTTGGAGTTTGGACTAAATAGCTCTGGGCTTCAGTCCGTGTTTCACGAGTGTTTGTATTCAACGAACTTGCACATCCTGAGATTAGTCGAGCTCCGGCCCCAATAACCCGAGTAGTTTATATAAAAAAAAAGGAAGAAAATCCATGATGTGGTGAAGGCTACTAGGCTAAGATCAAACTAAAGAAAAGTCTCTGAAAGTCTTAAAGACTTAGTAAGAGCATCTCTTAAGAGATACTCTATAACTTCATATTTGAAGTTTCTTGCACTCCAAGAGATACTTCAAACCTTCAAATTTTGAAGAATTGAATAGTGATACTCTAAATATAGAGTATCACTATTCAATTCTTCAAATTTGAAGTATCATTTTTCTTTTTGCATTTTAATCCTTATAATTATCTATCTTTATAGATAATGTTATTAGTTATGTTTGTTTATCATTTTAATTCTATAATGATATATCTCATAATTATTTTATATATGTCTTCATAATTATGATTTTAACAGATAAAATTAAAAAACAACTTGTATTTAAAATAAAATATACTAACACATAAAAATATAGCATAACATTACTAAAGATAAATTATAAGAACACATAAATTTTTAGCTCGTAATCTACAAATAAAAGGCAATCAACGAGAATATCCAATTTCAACAATTTTTAGCTCGTAATCTACAAATAAAAAATAAAGAAGCTCATCTACCACTTCGAAATGCATCGATTGACCATATATGAGAGTATTTCGGAAATAATTTTAGTGAGCAATTTAATATTTTATTGTAGTTTATGATTTTATTAATATATTTTATATTATTTATCATGTTTTATTAATTAATGTTGTTTGTGATTTTTCTGTAATGTATGTTTAAATGTTACTTATAAAATGTTGTGATTTTTAACTGATTATGTTGAATAGGAAGGACTATAATGCAAATTAAAATTTTTTTTGAAACTTATTTTGAAGTATCACCATTGAAGAGAAACACCTCACACTTCAAATTTGAAATACCTGATACTTCAAATATAAAGTATCTCTTGGAGATGTTCTTATAATTTCAACATACTCGAACTCTTATGAGGCCTCAAAGTTAAAAGTCGTTTGTTTGGTGTTTTGCATTCGATCGGATAGTAAAACTTCATAACTGCAAAAATTCCTTTATGTAAATTTTTGTAAATAAATCTCAGGTAGATAACGTTTTTCTTAAAACAAATATGTTGATAAATCTTTGTAGAGAAATCTCAAGTAGATAACGTTTTTTTTTTAAAACAAAAACATGTTGATTGACATTTGACAACCTTGATTGACCACAGATGAACAAGTAGCAGTAAGACAAAACGAAATGGACGTAAGTCCGTCACGGACTCACGGGTTTTTATCATGCGGAATCAATTTTCTCATGCGGAGACAAACACCTAATTATGATATACAATAAAATAATTTAAAATGTACAAAATCGTATGTATTTTGATAACCGAATGTTATAATGAGAAATTGATTTGAAAATTTATATAGTTAACAAAGATACAATTTTTAAGAATTTATCAACTGCAACTTTTTTTATATTCCCTTGTTCTTCTTGTCCTTCTTCATTTATTTTATTTCCCAATTTTCTACCTATGCGTGATCTACTTTAACCTCTGCTCTTTGAAATTTTCTTAAAACACCAAGTTATATGTTCCAATATACCAGAATAAATATGCTTTGTAGTTTCTAATGATGATATCATTATGATATGATGACGCCGTACAGCATATATAATATACATATTTACATAATTCTTTGCGCGTGTGTTAATTTTGTATTTGATATTTGATAAGTATATTTTAGCAGTTTACCATCTAATAATTAGAACATAAAACTTTATCTAACTGAAGAAATCCTTTTCATGAATTTTGTATCAGGCTCTTACTTCTAAATAAAACATTATCCTATATACACATGTGTATGTCAGTATGTGTCTGTTACTTATTTTTCATACATATAATGCATTCTTTGTTTTGAAATTTCTCGGGTTGTGCTTCTCGCAAGTGGCTCGTGGGTACACCATATGCATTTAATATGCATAAATGCATAATGCATGTCTATGGGTTTCTGTTCGTGTCTATGAGCTCGAGCGATTGAGTATACGCACAATGCACAACAAACACATCAATTAGCTGTGTATAACAAACTATCTTACGCTAAATATTAATTTATTGGAGAAGTTAGGTTTAATATTATGTTATAATTAACAGATATTCATTATTCAAAAAATTAGATACATGACCATTTCGTGCGTTGTGCAGACGAAAATGCACTTAAATCATCTTCGACCTCTTTTTGGTTTTCTCTTCTCGGAACATTTGTAAATATTTGTTCGTTTGTCATCTTTTTTTCTTTCTTTCTTTGTTATCTTTCTCTTTATAAATTTGTGTCAATCTTGTCAACATATTAAAACAGATTCCATTTTTGCCGCGATGATTTGAATTTTAGAATCAGATACAAATTATCTGAGAAATAAATATGTGTTTCTAAACACCAGTGTTGTGAATAGTGGCAAATTTGGTGTTGAGTGAATAGTGTTTTTTTCCATCTTCAACCACAACACCAAATCTCACACTAAAAAAGATATTTTTATTATTATATTATTAATTTAAATTTTTCTTTACTTTTTAATGTTTTGACAAATACTAATTATTCATAGATAACAACAAATTATTTATAACATTAACAACTAATTATTTATAATATTAATTTAAATATTTTATGTATTTATATTAATTACAATTAAATTTCATATTAATTACATTTAAAAATTATATTACTATAAATGATAAGATAAAAAACACAATTTGGTATATTAATTATATTTATGAAATTTAACTAATTAATAAATAATATAATACTAATATTATAATAAAGTAATAATAAAATATTATTATAATTTTAGAGTTTTGTGAATAGTGAAACACCTCTAAAAATAAAATTTTGGAGTTGCATTTGAAATTCCATTGGAGAAGAGAGAACGCTATATTTGGTGGGATGGAGTTCGATTGGAGAAGTATAAACGTTTTGTTTTATCAGACAAATATATATATATATATATTTGTCAGAAATAAATATGTGTTTCTAAGTAAAAATGTCTTGTTATATATATATATATATACATATAAATATGTATTTGTACCAATAACAATTTATTTATTAAAAAACAATAATGCATTTATGTCCATACTTCATGTATATTACTTTCTAATTTTCAATATGTAAAAGACATATTTATAATAACACTTAATAGTGTTGTACACTTGTAACACCTTTTTTTGGGTCAAAATGTAGACTTGTAGCACTTGAAGATAAGATAGCGAGAAGAAGAGACTCAGATTTTTTCTCACTCTCTCTCTTCTTCCACCACTCACCTATTGTGTATTTGTGTGCATCTCATAATCACCATGGAGAAGACCTCATTCTCCATAAACGAAGGAAAGCCGATTCGATGCAAAGCAGCAGTATGTAGAAAAGCAGGAGAAGCATTGGTAATAGAGGAGATCCAAGTTGATCCACCTCAAGCTTACGAAGTTCGGATTAAGATTCTATGCACTTCTCTTTGTCACACCGATGTTACTTTCTGGAAAATAGACAGTGTAAGTTGATAATATTATATATCACAAAGTCAACTCAGAATCTATATTTCATTCAAAATTTCGATTTCACTAAATCCTTATGATTGTTCCAGGGGCCGCTTGCAAGGTTTCCAAGGATTCTAGGACACGAAGCAGTCGGGTGAATATTCTTACATGATACATTATTCATATGCATATTTTAATTAGTCTCTTGTGAGTATTAATCAAGAATCTGTCCTAATTACGTAATCCAGTGTGGTGGAGAGCATTGGAGAAAACGTTGAAGGATTTAAGCAAGGCGACGTGGTTTTGCCAGTGTTTCACCCTCAATGCGAAGAATGCAAAGACTGCAAATCTTCAAAGAGCAACTGGTGCGCGAGATTTGCCGACGAGTTCTTCTCAAACACGAGACGATACGGGATGGCTTCGAGATTCAAAGACTCGTCCGGAGAAGATATTCACCATTTTCTCTTTGTCTCGAGTTTTACTGAGTATACCGTCGTTGACATCGCTCATCTCGTCAAAATCTCACATGACATTCCCGTTGACAAAGCTTGTTTGCTCAGCTGCGGTGTCTCCACCGGTACTCTATTCACTATTCTTAATTCTATTTCCGTAATCCGTAGGGTTGCTATAAATAACTTTAAATATATTTGGGGTCAAAACATAAAGAAAAGTAGAAACTAGGGGTGGGATTGTTATTTTATGAGAAGTCAAATAATTGTACATACGTGGCCTTATGGTGCGCCACGTTTGAGCAGGAGTTGGTGCTGCATGGAAAGTGGCTGACGTGGAGGAAGGCTCCACCGTTGCAATCTTTGGCCTTGGTGCTGTTGGACTTGCGGTATTTCTTTTATTATTATTTTTTTTTTTTGCTTTTTTTCCATAATATGATAATAAATCATTCTATAAAGGAAAAGAAAAGCACATTTTACAGTTCGTTATCAGTTTAATATTTATATAATTAGTTTTTTAATACACGTTAGTTATGATTTGGTAAAAAAGGTTGCCGAGGGAGCCAGATTGCGTGGGGCCGCAAAGATCATCGGTATCGATCTCAATCCTGATAAATTCGAGCTAGGTACTATTTCTTTGCTAAAAGTTACTATTTCTTTGTTTGGCTAATACTGACCACATTGGTTGGTAATTTAGTATTCTTATACAGTAACACTATATTAAAAACCATGTACTGTACTATGAATAGATGTTTAGTTAGTTGGCAATAAAAAGACAATTAGATAAATAAATCATTTGTTTGCATTGTCAAAAAAAAAAAACATCGCTTAGAAAGTTCAAATTAATAAATTAAGTATCACCTATCGAAAACGGAGGAACCCTATTATTTATCATGTATAAACTTATTAATTGTTTGAATTTTCTTTAATTTTTAAAATTGAATAGGTAAGAAATTTGGTTTCACGGATTTCGTCAATCCTACGTTGTGCGGAGAAAAGAAGATTAGTGAGGTAAATTATTTATCTTCCTTTATCTTATATCATTTTCATATACATTCGTATATAGATATTACATACGTGCATTAATTAATCAATCTATTTGCCAAAAATAATGATTTTGTTTGTTTTTTTCCTGAAAGGTGATTAAAGAGATGACAGGAGGAGGAGTTGACTACAGTTTCGAATGCGTTGGTTTAGCTTCGTTACTAAGTGAGGCTTTTATCAGCACCCGCACGGTACGCTTACAACGTATCTTATCGATTCTCGATCGGCTCAACATCATTCATTCATTTTATTGGTTAAACAAAACTGTTTTACGATTTTTTTTTGGTTAAAAGATCGAATGTTTTTATTTTTCTTGAACCAAAAAAAAAGAAGGAATGTTTTACAATTTAAAATGTCTTTAACAACTGAAAAATTAATAAACAACAAAACAGGGATCAGGAAAGACGATAATGTTGGGAATGGGAAAGCATGCAGCGCCAATAAGTTTGGCTAGTTTTGATCTTCTTAAAGGCAGAAGTATTTGCGGAAGCATGTTCGGTGGTTTAAAATCCAAACTAGATATTCCGATTCTCGTGGATCATTACCTCAAAAAGGTATATATATATATTAATGAATTTATGTGGACTCAGATTTCATTTTTTAACACTTTACGAAGATGTTAATTCAAAAACCAACAAAAAGGTAAATATACATATATATATATATATATATATATTACTTGGGAAAAGAAGAAGAAGAGTATGTTCCTTGTGGAAAAGAATAGTGTTTAACTTCATAGAAAGTGTTTTACTTCTTCTTTCCAACCTACATATGAGTAATTGAGTATCTACTATGTTTTCAAGAGATTTAAAGTTTCTTTTTATAATTGCAGGAGCTCAATCTGGATAGTTTTATTACACACGAATTGGATTTTGAGGAAATCAATAAGGCTTTCGATTTATTAGAGGAAGGGAGGTCTCTTCGCTGCATTCTATGGATGGATAAGCAGTGACTGAAGCCACTCTGGAGAGATGAGGGTCAATTCTACAAAATCTTTAAAAATTTAGTTTGCAAGGTTACTTCAATTCACATTGGTCAAAATCTCTTTATTTTTTACCCTTATGTATTGAGTTCAAATCTGAAATCGTCTTCTAATCTTTCAGCTAAATTATACTAACAATATTAAATTAATAATGCCTGCCCTATAAAACTTATATCAGCTTACCCACTTTGGATAAGTAATTAATTGCTACGTCTTTTTCTTTTTCAAGAAAAAAAAATGATCGACCTAAAGATTAACTGTTGATAACAACTACAGTCTTCAGCTCTACCAACTGAGCTTAGTCAAGTTTTCAAGTCTTAAAAGAACGCTTTTATCAAAGAGAATGAAATGTCCGAGTTAAACACACAATTAATTAAAACGTTGGTTAATTGAAATTCAATCAAGATCAAAAATGTATATATATACTGCTATTAATCTTTTATTATTCTACCAACCACCAGCTCAGGATATGTTTTGCATCGATACAATCATCTGCCAATGTTTTCATTTTCTTTACGATTCATTTGAAAGAAAAAAAAATATCTTCAAGACAAAATAAAATTAGGCCGTCAATAGAGACGAACATAATAATTAGAGTATAGAGTTATAGACTACGAGACATATAGACACAACATTTTCGTACTGTCAGTAGAATAGAGACGAGCTTAATTATTATTATACCCTTTTAGTTAAAGTAGCTTAATAATACATCTCCACTACAAAAATACTTTATTCTAAAAGTAGGTTAGCGATAAGAACTGGGGAATCGTTTGGCATGGTGAGATATTCAGAAAGACAAAATAGGAAGAACAAACGACTCTCTCTCATTTCCACTCCATCATTGTTCATCATAATCCATCATTCACCATTGACATGACATCTTCATTAACCATCAACGAAGGAAAGCCGATTCGATGCAAAGCAGCAGTATGTAGAAAAGCAGGAGAAGCATTGGTAATAGAGGAGATCCAAGTTGATCCACCTCAAGCTTACGAAGTTCGAATTAAGATTCTATGCACTTCTCTTTGTCACACTGATTTAACTTTCTGGAAACTGGACAGTGTAAGTTGATAATATTATATATCACAAAGTCAACGCAGAATCTATATAATCATCATTCAAAACTCAGTTTCACTAAATCCTTTATTCTTTTTTCCAGGGACCAGCTGCAAGGTTTCCTAGGATTCTAGGACACGAAGCAGTCGGGTGAATCTTGCTTCTTTGGTTTCAAATTTCAACTCTTCTTCAAGAATCTGCCTATTTACTTTTTTTGGGTGTTAATAGATGTATTGCCTAGTGACTTGAATCTGTTGTTTTGATCATTGGTAATGTACACGCAATCCAGTGTGGTCGAGAGCATTGGAGAAAACGTGGATGGATTTAAGCAAGGCGACGTCGTTTTGCCAGTGTTTCACCCTCAGTGCGAAGATTGCAAAGACTGCAAATCTTCAAAGAGCAACTGGTGCGCGAGATTTGCCGACGATTTCTTGTCAAACACGAGACGGTACGGGATGGCTTCGAGATTCAAAGATTCTACGGGAGAAGATATTCACCATTTTATCTTTGTCTCGAGTTTTTCTGAATATACCGTCGTTGATATCGCTCATCTAGTCAAAATATCCCCTGAGATCCCCGTTGATAAAGCGGCTTTGCTCGGCTGCGGTGTCTCCACAGGTATCGCTTTTTATATTTGTTCTGTTCATATTCGTTTAGCTAGAGTCGATTTTGACTATTATAACTTTATTCGAGGTGAAAACATAAATAGATACATATATAATGAGGTGAAAACATAAATAGATACATATATAATTACACTTTGTTAGAAAAAGTTAGATATATAAATAACACTTTGTTAGAAAAAGTTAGATATATAAGTTCACTTTGTTAGAAAAAGTTATATAATTACACGTGGAGTAGGTGTTGGTGCTGCATGGAAGGTGGCTGATGTGGAGGAAGGCTCCACCGTCGCTATTTTTGGCCTTGGTGCTGTTGGACTTGCGGTAATTTTTTAAAAACTAAATAAAGTTTGTTTTTGGCAATTCATAAAACAAGTGAATTGCTTCTTATATTAGTTATTTGCGAATCATATTGTTAAATGATTTAGAAGACAAAAAAACAAATGAGTTGGTAAATAGGTTGCAGAAGGAGCCAGGCTCCGTGGTGCTTCCAAGATCATCGGTGTGGATCTCAATCCCGACAAATTTGAAATAGGTTCGGTTGCTTTATTTCATTATTTCTTTCTCTTGCAATATCGCACAACGTCTAAAACATATATTTAACGTATTTGAATCTTAGATATCCCGACGTAAAAAGCAAGAGGTTGTATATGAATTTGTATTCAAAATTTTATCATCACTCGAACCTCCGAATCTTTGAATTTTAATTTGGAACAGAAGCCTACATGTTGAATTATTTTTTGTTCACCTAAAAAACCTATAACTATTAATCGATGTCGAGTAGGTAAAAGATTCGGGATCACGGATTTCGTCAACCCTGCTTTGTATAAGGAGAAGACAATTAGCGAGGTTTATTTTATTTTAAAGCTACCTTTATATTAATTTTCAATTTCCTTACTGCATATAAGTTTTCATTATTTAAATTTGAAACATACCTGCGGAAAAAGATTAAAGTAGTTGTTGAATATTTATAAAAAGGTGGTTAAGGAAATGACAAAAGGAGGGGTTGACTACAGTTTTGAGTGCATTGGTTTAGCTTCTTTGATGGAGGAGGCTTTCAATAGTACTCGCACGGTACGGTTTTACCGGTTTTATTTGGTTTAGCACCATTCCGTGTATAAACAGAAATTTGGCACTTGATTATTACTTTTCATTTTTAGGGATCGGGTAAAACGGTAATATTGGGGATGGAAAAATATAAACTGCCAGTAAGCTTGGGTAGTTATGATCTTCTCAGAGGCAGAACTATATGCGGAACTTTATTTGGTGGTCTCAAACCTAAACTTGATATTCCCATTCTCGTCGATCGTTATTTGAAAAAGGTATAACTTAATCTATTTAATTATAGTTTATGTGATTCATTTATGCTTCTATATATGTGACAATGTGATTTTATATTCTTTTTAAAAATTGCAGGAGCTTAATCTGGACGGTTTCATTACACACGAATTAAGTTTTGAGGAAATTAACAAGGCTTTCAATTTATCGATGGAAGGAAACTCTATCCGTTGCGTTCTATGGATGGATAAATAACTGTTTCATATCTTTGATTTTTTTTTTTTTTTTTTTTTTTATGATCTATCCATCATCGTCCACGTCCCAAAACATAGTTGGGGACAAAACAATCCGCAGATTTATCATTTTGTTGAGTATTTCCTTATATGTCTTAATTTGTGGTGGAAGATAAAACACAATTTGAATATTCTTAAATGGTCAAGTGAAAATGTTCAAGTGAAGCTATGGTGTTTTAATTTATTTTATTTTTAAGTAGTAGTGGTGTTAATCGTGTGATCCTTCAGATTATTTTCGTTATGTGTAAGCTTTTGTGGACACTGTTTCGCAATGCATTGGTTAGATTGAGATATTGTGATCTTTAGTTATTGATTTTGTTTCTAAAATTATTTATTCGAACTATAATAAATCATCAGTAATTTTGAAATGAATATATGGATCATTGACCAAAAAAAATTATATTTTCAAATTTCTTTTTTTTTAGTTGTTATTTGATCAGCAGGAGTTTGGTTTTCCAAATATTTTTTCTGATTTGGACTTTAATTTTCTAATGTAAATTTCTCTCTGTCCCTAGATTGGGCCTAAAGCGGATTTAGAAAATCGATGCCCAATTAATGTTTCAACTAAAACACAGTCGTTTTGTTCTGTAAGGAAATAGCCAGATAGGTCCTGGAGAGCTTAAACCTAACAATCTGCTCGAGTGTTTATCATCAAAAGATTCTGTCTCCGATCCTTGTCGCTCTCCACTCACCTGAAGATCCTTCGAGTTTCTTTTGACCACACTCTTCAATGGCGGAAGCTGTGTCTGCTCAAACTCCGTCGCTCTCCGAGGTATTCTTCATCTAAACCCATTTCTCATTTTCTCTCTTCTTTGCTGTATCTTGCCGATGCTGAGTTTTCAGTTTTCATCCGATCTTCGTTCGATCTACTGAAGAATCAGCTGATTCAATTTGATTTCGGTTTTCAATTGGTTTTTGATTCATCCTTTGTGTTTCTTTCTCAGTTTTCACATTTGTTAGATCTGATTCAATTCGATTTTGATTACCATTTGATAGTGAGCCAAAACAAGATTTCTTTCTCTCTTCGATTCATCTTAAAAGGTTTTCAATATTCCGATCAATTTACCAGAACAGATTGATTTGAACAGGTCAACAAGATTGGATCCTGCCAGTTTCTTTTGTCTTATAATTCTCAATGCATTTTCTTTTCTTCTAAGACCAAATTGCGTTTAGTTAGTTATCAAAGATAAAATCTTTAGATGAGTTGTAAAAGCAAACATTTTACAATTTTGTATCATTGTAAATAACATGAATAGCTTATAGAAATTTCTTTTGTGACAAAACGGATCGATATTCACAAATTGAGTTATTAGTGTCTGGTGAGAATCTATGTTTGGTATCATTTGGTCTAACATCTGGAACCATATGGCAGCAATATCATTTGGAGAAAGAAGTGAAGCAAGACACAACTGCAAAGCCTGTGGAAGTGAAAGAGGTGGCACCAGAAGTTACTACTCAAGCTGAAGAAGTTAGCAGCAAGGACGAAGCCAAAGAAGAATCTCCTGTTGAGGAAGCGGTTTCTGCTGTTGAAGAGAAGTCTGAGTCTCCTGCTTCCACAGAAGCGACTTCTGAAGAGGTTCCAGCTGCGCCTGAAGACAACGCTGAAGAGGCTCCAGCTGCGGCTGAAGAAAGTAATGACGAAAACACTAGTGAAGAAGTTGCTGAGGAAACTCCGGATGAGATCAAGGTATTTTGTAGTAGCCATCCACCCAGCAAAAAGATGCTAACTTTGATTTTATTGATCGAGTTGGCTCATGTGGTGTTTATGTTTTTTTGTATTGTCAGCTTGAGACAGCTCCTGCTGATTTCCGTTTCCCGACGACAAACCAAACTAGGCATTGTTTCACACGTTACATTGAATATCACAGGTGAAAAATCGATGTGGTTTTCCTTTTTTCCTAAGTTATAATCTCTCTCTCCATGTCTAAGTGTTCTGATTGTTTTCAAATCTCCAGATGTGTAGCTGCTAAGGGTGACGAAGCTCCAGAATGCGATAAGTTTGCAAAGTTTTATCGATCTCTTTGCCCCAGCGAATGGGTATATCTTCCATTTAGTTTTCTTCACTCCTTGAGTGGTTCCAATAACTTGATAGATGATGATGATTAGTTGAAGAAGACGTTTTTAAATAGACTAAGTTCACTGTTTTTGAGATTACAAAATTGTCAGGCAATTAGCTCTGTTTCTGTTGGGAAGTTTTTTGGCTGTTCTGCTTCTTAACACTGCAAATCTATCTGTTTGTGTTTTTGCAGTTGATAGTGACGAGCAGAGAGAGAACGGAACTTTCCCTGGTCCTCTTTAAGACTGCTGCCTGAAGAAGAAGAATCATATGCCCATCATCCTCTTTTGCTGTTACCTTCATGGTTTCGCCCGAATTACACTGCAGAGTTTAATAAGATTTTACAAAACCAGCACTTCTGGTTCCCCATCATAAATATGTGAGAATTTAACAAAACTTATAATCTCAAATTTTTCCTTTTAATATTAATGCTCAACTCAAGTTTTGAGGATCATCCGATTCTGAAATGTTGTTCTTCCTGATTATATGCTTTTCCATGGCGAGCTTCAATTTTTAGCACCTGAGACATTTTTCCTCTGTTTCTCTAAGGTTGCATACTGAATTATTTATCATTATTATACCAATCTAAACAAACAATGGAAGACATATAAGGTTCTGACAATATTTCCTTCATAATTTGAAGACAACAGACGGTACAATATATTTTAGACATGTATATCGCATAACCACTTTGAAAAACTTGTGTTTTCAAAACGTAAAAAAATGGTTTCCATTCATTACCAAACTGTTTGATAACATCTGATTCATTAACCAGCAGTGGTTTCACTATAATGCTATAACCTACAATATGCCTATAACTATCATTGAACTTTTATACTCAATGCCAATAAGCATGGATAAATCCCACAAGGCCTGTTATATATCCACTTCTCATGTCTCATCATCTCGGTTTACTTGAGTCTCTCTGGCAGAGACAGTCCGGTAATGGATTTTCGTAGAAAGATTCCTCAGAACGATGTCTCTCCAAACCCTTTGTTCCAGAAACCGGTCCTTTTCTTCTCCTTGGTGATCCTTGCCTGTGTTGTTATATACCACAACACTTAGTGCCACTACATTATCGAGATGAGTAATACTAAATGTAAATGTTGGTTTTTGCTTTACCTGGTTTTGTGAATCTCTACGATTCTTTCATACACTTTCATGTTATCTTTCTCAGATCCTCTTCCAATTTTGTCTATCAACCTCACAATGCCTTTCCTGAATCACAAACACAAAAGAAAATGTCAGTAAGTAAGATTCGATGACTTAAGACCAGCACAAAAACACACAATCTCACCTGTCTGGAGAGATGGTTTTCCGGTGACCAAGATACCGGCGATGCCCTTCAACAGCTCTTGCCATGTTTCCGCTATACGATGGAATAAAAACATCGCTTTCGACGGAAACAATGTAGTCAAGTGCAGCCATTTGAGTTGAGTGGTTCATAAATGGCTTAAGCTCTTCTTTTGTTGCCAATTTTTCCTTCATTATATAACAAAAGAGTTCAGTCTTTACTCTGTCCCATTGCTTAATCAATAACCAAAAGCTTGAAACATTGTTTAGTAATACCTTACTCATTAACATGGAGAAACGAGAGCCTAGACTGGCTAACCGAGACTCACCACCGTAAATCTCACCAGCAGCTATATATATCGGCGTCTTTGATGAATATCCGAGAGCTGTCAGCAAAATTCCAACTTCTTTTGGAGTCAGTGGACAATAGCCTTTGAGCCTTTGTACTCTTCCGTCAATATCTTTCACTTTCCAATACGCTGTGTTCTTCCTAAACACGCAATCGTCTTCTTTGAAAAGTAACAACAAGCAAGAAATTACACAAATCAGTAGTTTTTTTGTTTCTTTGTTTTGCTTACCTGATCGTCCTTAGCTCAGCAGCTTCAGAAGCAGATAAACCGTGGTTGCAGCCACTGAAAGCTAGCATGTCTTTCTCGAACCTCAAATGCAACGCGATGTATGGACCATAAGATCTCATCCTATCAACCAAAAGCTGCAACATTTTTATCATAAAAATCGAAAATTTAGATACAGAAACATAAACTGTTAGAGTGGAAGATATGTCCTCTGAGATGGTTATAGGTCAAATCAATAGTTTTACATTTCCCATTGATCTGATTTTAGTAGAGAAGCGTAGAGCCTCATAGCAAGCACGGCATCGCAGCTTCTGAATATCTTGAGGTAGATTGTTGTTTGCAAGACGAGAATCGGATTTGGCTGCTCGGATCACCTGAGTGAAGAAAACATTATAAGACAGAAAAAAATTTTAAGCACCCACAAGAAAGAGTTAAAGAATACATGATCACACCTTGTATTCATCCCACATGCTAGCTATCTCATTTTGGTAGTAACTAAATCCTGAGTAGCTTTTGAAATGCTTAACCACCTTCGTGAGTCCATCAATACCTTTTGGAAGCTTCTTGATGACTCTCACATCTTTAGATAAAGCATTGATGAAGTGATCTTCATCAAATACATCCGAGAACTTACTGTTTTCAATCGGATCAATCCAAAAAAGGGAAACAAAAACAGGTTAAAACAGGATCAAGAAAAAGCCAAGACAAGAAGAAAAAAAAAACAGAGAATGGTAACATGGAATTAACCTAGTATCCTGCCAGAAAGATCGTTTATCGAGCTCTGGGACTACAAGTGTTGCATTTATAATACGGGCTATAGCTACCATGTCACATATCTGTACAATTTTTACAATGGAAGATGATTCAGCCATTATAAGTATTACATACTTGTGAGTGCAGTTCAGCACAAAGAATATTAATACATACTTACCCCAGCACGCATCTGGTTAAGACCACCATTTGTGTGAACAAGAAGATAGCCTCTAGATTCCAATGGAGCTGAATAACCAAATCACCAGAGAGAATGGAAAAGGATTTTGAGTCATGAGTCAAACACAAGACTTTGGTTTTGGCTACAAAAAAAAGAAACCAAAACAGACAGTTTTCTTTTCTCACATGTGTAATTAGGATTGGGATTGACACAAGGAACGAAACTGCGGTTTGGTGGAGGTTTCCAAAGCTTGTCATAATCCGGTATCCCGCTTGTAGTATTCAACTGTCAAATCTAAAAGAGTGAAAAACACGAAAGAAGCATGATCCTTCTATTCAAAACAATCGAATTTCTCTGTATCCAAGAAACAAATGACTAGTGTTAGCAACACTGCAACCACCAAACTCAAATCTTCACTCTGGAAACTCGCTCTACGCATCAAAAGATTAGTATATACAAACACTCTCTTCTATTTCCACTCTTCTTTAGGCGACAAACTCATCTTCTAGATATCTTGCTTAGTTGTACCAAGAATCAAAATTTAAGAAGAATTCAAACCTTGGAAGAAGAAGATGGGTTTGTTGAGATATGAGGAGGAAATAGCTCCTGTGTGTTGTTGATGTGTTCCGATACTGAGCTCTGATACTGGATCACATTGTTCTTAATTAAAACAATATTCATAGTCAAAGTTCAAAACTTTACACTAAACAAGAACATCTCAAGAAATGTTGTAAAAATTGAACCTTGGGTTTGGAGATGAAAGGAGATTCAATCGATTCCGAACGAGACAGGTTCCTCGTGGAGCTCTGTTCTGTGATCGATTTTTCGTAGTTGATGGTATCTCCTCGCTGTTATACAGAGGAATCAAAGTCCGTAAAACAATCCCAATCTCAGAAACAGAGTTAAGAAGAACACTATTCTTTTCCGGAAACAAATTCGATGAAGCGACTTAGAAATCTTGAGAGCGTAGAGATTGGATACGGACGCGAGTGTGGTGTTTGTTGTTTAGGTGAAGCCTGGGGAGTCTGTTGAAAGGAGCAACGTAGATATGTACAGAGAGAAAACCGAGTAATGCTATTATGCATATGGCGCACGTTAGCACCCTCCGTATCGCCGCCATCACCACCGGCTTCCTCCGCCGTCGCATTTCTCTGAAAACGATCCAAACGGCAACATTCAAGAAATAAAGAAAGATTCAGAAAAAACGGATCTTGATCTTCTTGAGTCCTGTGTTTCGATGGTGAGCGATGAGGTTTCTATTACGGGAGTAGAGGTGTTTTGCCAAAAAAGGAAAGTAGAGAAGTCAAATGCATCGATGGGTCCTAATCTATTATGCCCAAAATCGACGATCTTTCTTTCGATTTTTGATTGGTTCTTCTACTCTATTTTAAGAAATAAGAAAGGAAGCCAAAAAGGTAAGACCGTAAGAGAAGGTCACGTGACGTTTGACCTGATCTAGAGAGAGAGAGAGAAGAGTTGCGTTAATTGCGTGAGCAGACGATTCTAAATTCGAAAATGGACAGTGTCGTAACTTATATAGATCTGGTTTAATTCTAAAAATAAAAAATAAACAATCATTATTAAATAGTCCCGTAACTCCGGTATAACCAATGACATTACTGATTTACTAGTAATTAAACTCTAAGCATGGTCAGTGTCTTTCCACAGCTCACTCTCACTAGATCAAGATAACAAGAGTACAAGACGACATGACGACATCCCAACAAAACAATGCATGTAACCAGCTTCGTTCTCCATTTCAATATTTGGGCATGGAAGACCAAATTCCCTAAACGGTCGTGATCCACCACAACAAGAATCTCAAAATCTTTCAGTAACAATTTTACACTAAATCAGTTTTAGACCATGTTTATTGGAAGAATTTATTATGGTACTTAATTAATATTTAATTAATAAAAGAAGAGAAGAGAGAGAAATAAGAGAGATAAATTAGAGGAGAGATAATCCAATGAGTGAAGTAAGAGAGGAGAGAGAAAAAGTTTGTTTTTTCTCATTAATTCTATTCAATAAGATGGCTACATTTGCTTTAAAAACTACTGAAGCATCGATGCTTAAAAGTCTAAAACAAATATCGATACTTATATTCTTGTCCAATTTTTATTTATTTAAATCTAAATAATACTAAATACCTATGATAAGTATCTGCGATAAACATGGTCTTAGTTGCCTCTCCGTAGAGAGCAGCACCCATACCAACCACGTGCTGGTGAGCTAAGTTTGGCAACAAAAAATTAATTGCGTTTTGGAATCCAAAGTCAATAATCATACTTACTCTCAGAATCTATGAAAATTCTAGTTTTCTTACTATTTAAAACGTTTACAGATGGCCAATTATGATTTAAATCAATATGGGAAAATTAGAACATTTTTCTTCAACTACTTACTCCATAGACAAAATACCTGTTAAATAGCTAGCTCTTGTTCTTAACATCGATGCATCATCGCCATTGTTTTTGCTCGGTTTGATGCTAAATGAATATATTTTCTTATAAAAAAAGGAGATCCACCCATACTTTCCGGGAACTTTCCAGTTTCTTATGGGTTCATGTTTTGTTTTGTTTTGCTAACTCCACTACAAGAAAGATTGAGTTTTACGTCGGCAGATATCGACGTAAAAGAGCATTTACGTCGAATTAACGACGAAAAAAAAATCGTCGTAAAACGATCGTCGTAAAACCAAAATCGTCGTAAAATCGTCGTAAACTTACCAACCCGGGAAAATCGTCGTAAAATCGTCGGAAACTATTCGTCGTAAACGCGACATAAAGTTTCCAACGAAAGAGACGAACAATTTCAATTAAGAGAAACTAATTTTTTAATTGTCGATATTAATTCGTCGTAAACTTTCGACGTAAATCCGACGTAAACATATTCGACGTAAATTCGTCGTTAATAATTCGACGTTAGATCGACGTAAATTTACGACGAATTTACGTCGATTTATAAATTAATTATTTAATTCGATTTTAATTTAATTAATGAATTTTTAAAATAATAAAAAATTAAAAATAGAAAAAATAATTTAAATTGAAATTTAAATTCGAAAATAATTTATAAAAAAAGAAAAAATTTAATACAAATTGTTTTTTACAAAAAAACCTAATCTACAATGTGATTTCGTAATCGTCGAGGTTGAGATCGACGTCACGAGGAGGCTCTCCGTCTTGGCCGCCCGTCGCTGCTGGACCGTCGTTTTCTGTCTGCACTACCGGAGCCGAAGACTGACCCTGCGTCTGCTGGTCCGATGGTCCAATACCGGAAGTACCACCGGTCTCAAAAACCCTTCGTGCTTGCTGTTGCCTCGCTCGGATTGCGGTGACCAACTGCGGAACCGCTTCCGCAACGATGTCGAAGAGATCGTGTATCTCGGTGAGCTCCTGCTTCTGGGCCACTTGCTCATGCCTGAGAGTGGTGATCTCAGCATTGGCCGTAGCAAGCTCCTGGCGAAGATGACTCGGATCCTCCTGCGTGCGAAATCCGGAAGCCGAGGCGGCAGGACAGTCTCTAATAGAGCCCATCCCTAAGGTTCGGCCCTTCTTCTTCGGAGCAACCTACAAATGGAAAATGAAAACGTTAATTATTTATTAAGTAATAAATATAATAAATTTTAAAAAATTTGAAATAGATCATACCTCTTCGAAAATCTGATCTTGCTCAGCGACGGTCAACGGTACTTGGATAGTACCGTCAGGTGTGGCCTGGGTCTCCCGCTCGGCGATCCGCTGCATAGCGGCATTGTAGATCTCCTCGGACCGAGCGTCGAGAAAGCTCCCGTCCCTCTTCCGGTGAGTGGTCTCGAAGAGCTTCGTCATTGGAGGTAGTTCTCCTCCGTTCTCCTCGGCTAGCAATTAATAAACATTAGTCAAAAATATTTAATAAATTATAGCAATAAGTAAAATTAAAATAATAATGAAATAATTTATATTTAATTACTTACCATCATGAGACGTCTTCCCGCAAAAGATATTTGGCCAGAAGTGTGCGGAGTCACTAACTTCTCACCAGTCACCGGATCGACCCGGTTTCGGACTGCCGAACACTTAGCCGCAGTGGTTTGGGCATGCGGGTCCAGCCAATACGCCTTCAACCCGTTCCAACAGGAAGTGGACATGGAGCTCGGCTTTGCGTCGTCTCCATCGGTCTCCCACTTCCGCTTCCAATCGGAAACGGTTATGACTAGGCGTTTCTGCGCCTTCAGCCGAAAAGCTTCGCGGACCGTCTCGTTGAACCCGATGTCCCAGTTCCACCATTGCTGCAAAAGAAAACAAAAAATTAGATAAACAATATAAAAGTAAGATTAATTAAATTTAAAACAATTTAAAATGATATAAATAAGATTTATAAAACATTACCGCGAAGCACTTGTACCAGGTGTCGAACGTCTCTTGCGACACCTTGCTCCAATTGTAGTGCGGGTCCACGAAATGACTCTCAATTGTGTCGGAAACGCTCCGACCGACACAATTATCCAAATCAAACCTATGAAAACAAAAAAAAACTTATTACATTAATATTCAAGTAAATTAAAGCATTAATTTAAAAAAATATAAAAACAAAAAAGTTTACTTACCAATAAAAGCCTGGTTCCGTTTTTCCGGGAACCAGACGTCGTAAAGCCCCCGTCCCGGTAGGGCTAGTAAATCCTCAACCGTAAACTGTGCATACGGATGAGGAGGGGCGGGTACCGGTTCGGCAGCCGGCGGTGGAGGTGGTGGTGGAGGCGGTGGTGGAGGCGGTGGTAGAGACTGCTCCGCGGTATTCGGAACCTGGGAGGCTCCGTAGATGAAGGGACATCGGTCCCGGTGTTTCCCGAGGCAGACGCCCGGGAAGAGTGTCCGTCCGCCATGAAATTGATGTAATGCGTCCTCCGTCGAGTCATCGTCTGCAAAACCGATAAAATTTTATTTTTCAAATTAATTACAATTAATTTTTAATTACGATCCTAAATCTAACAAATTCCGATCCTAAATCTAACAAATTCTGAGCCTAAACTAATTCCCGACCTAAACCGTTTGAATTTCTAAACTATTTAATAATATTATAATTTTAAGTAATTAAGAAAAAATAATTACCTTTTTTGCGTCAAAAGGAGGAGGAATGCAAGGGAGGAGGAAGCATAGAGAGAGGAAGGAGAGATGAGCGACGAAATGGGGAAGGGATGCGGTCCTATATATAGAATTTATTTTCCTCGTAAATTCGACGTAAATATTACAACGAATTTACGACGAATTCGTCGTAAATTCGTCGTAATGGTCCCACCGTACAAGAAAGCAAATAAGACAAACACACGTGGCTGTATCTGGGCTTTGCGACGATTTTACGATGATCCGTGTTATTCGTCGTAAAATCGTCGTAATGTTACGACGATTTTACGACGAATCGTATAAATCATAAAAATTAAGACGGCTGTGTATCCACAAATCGTCGTAAATTCGTCGTAATATTACGACGAATTTACGACAAACTATACCAAAACTGATGAAATTCAAAAATTGAAACATCCATAAGCACATACAAGCATTTCTATTGGGGCATGAACCCTCTATTCAATAAATGCTGCCAGACAGTGTCAATAGGAATATGTTTCCTATTTTTGCATTTCACACAAGGACAATACATTTTGCCGCTTTCAATTACATTTTGCATAAGGCCGGCTTGGTACATGAATATTTCCAATCTGTTTTTGAAGTCTTCAGTCAACGACCCATCACCATTTTTGGGCGTATACATCCACTTTCGTAGATCGTATATAGACATTTCAAAAACAAATATTTGACTTTTTATTTCTGAAATTTGATATAAATTTCAACTACTAAAAATTTTACTTAAACATTCAAAGACTCAAAAAATTTGTGTCTTTATATGTTTTTTTGGTTGATGGAATAATGTGAGAAGAAAAGGTATATATAGAATTTTTTGTTTTGTTACCAACATATTGCCATTGCATATTTACATCAAATTTACGTCGAAATAAAACTTACATCACATTTACATTGATTTTACGTCAATTACAAGATAAATGACAATTAGTCGTATTATCGATGTAAATATTACGACAACATTACGACGAATTAAAATTCGTTCTTCATTCGTCGTAATATCGTCGTAATGTTACGACGATTTTACGAGGGTCATTTTTTATGTCGAATTTACGACGAAATTTTTAATCGTCGTAAATACGACGTAACGTCGTCGTAACTAATTCGACGGAAAAACCCCTCATTCTTGTAGTGCTCAACTAACCTTTCTATTTCAATAAATTGGATAATCGTTAATTATGGTTCACGTTTTTTTTAAGAGATTCATTAGGATTCACGTATATAAATTCATAATCATGAATAAATCATGTGTATATTTCATTTGCAGGTTATGAGATTATAATGGCACTAGAGAGTTATATAGCATAATGCTAATTACTCCCATATAATATTCATCCCATGAGCAGCGCCTGATTTCCAAATCCCAAATATGAAAAGTTGAAAATTAAATTTGACGAGTAACGTAATAAGATTTACTTCACATATTATTCTCATATTGGTCAAAATGAAAATGTTAAATTATCTTCTTTCTGTTTTAATTTGTCGGAATTGTATCTTCGAATTATAGGTTAAGAAATCTATAACTCATTCATTTTTTTATTGGATCTAAGGTAAAAATCCATGAACTTTCATATTGTAGTATAACTGTAAAAAAAAATCGTTAAATTACATTAAAATTACATTTCCATCGTTCTATACATTATCAATCTAATTTATAGCAACTATGTTACTAAACCAAACCTATCATATATCGTATTAAGCTTTTCTCTTGGCTAAAACATGATATCCACTATTCTTAGGAAACAAATATTGATATCCACTAGAATTTAGATAAATATTAACCCAATATAAAAACAGGTGTTACAAAACAACCAATAGGGTCTATTTGTAGAGAGAGAGAGAGAGAGAATGTTCGTGGAAAACGGCTGAGTAGATCCATCAGTGCTCAGACATGAACTGGCCACTTCAGGTGTACCTTTGTACAACCCACCCACTCATTTCCTCCTAACTCGCTCTTTTAACATTTAGTCCATCTCCGTGATCTCTTCTCGATCTTCTTTTATTATTAAACATCAAACAGTGATTATTAGTATTAATTACCAAAGCTATTATTCGTCAACGTAACAAGCAAGTTTTCAAAGGTAAATTTAATGAGTTTTGATCAAAGCCTAGTTCCATGTAAAGATACTGGATTTCTTGGAAGTCACGAAATAACCATTTTCTAATGTGATTATGCAATTTTTTAACTAATTTTATAGATTATTTAAAAGTTAGCCCCTACTAATAAATTTTGAAAATTTTTGTATGGAATGAAATTTGTTATGATATTGGACTTCTATGGATTAGTATTGTTATAAGTAAAAAACATTTTATTATAAGGAGTATTATATATGATGGTACGGCTAGTTAGTAAATTTGACCAGCTGTAATACCAAACCTGAATAAATGAAGCACTAAAACACGTCTTTGCTCCTGACTCACCGTACATTAACTCCCTCTCTCTGCCAACTGGTAAGGTCATGTGCCAACCAATCACAGCCTTCGTCTGCATTCTCTGTTTTTTTTTATAAATAATTCTCACATGGTTTACACATCGAATCGCAAATGGCCACTGTAAATTAATCACATTTTCCGTGAAATTCAAGAACTTGAAATAGAATGTGTACTTGTATATAGAATATTTTATATATAACAATTCGTTAATATTCTTTTGTAATATTCAATTATCTTAATATTTCTAATATTGATTTTTGGTCTAAAAATTTGTAATATTTTGTATATGTGATGTAGATTTTTCCAATTTTTAATCGACATATTTAAAACAATTTGTTGAGATCTTCTTGTGCTTATTCTCTGTATTTGCGGGGTGACGAAAACTGAGAAAAAAATGAATATATTAAACACCAAAATGTGGTAAAATAATAGTTATAGAAATAATCTGGAGAAGAAGTTTTGTTTCTTGGGACGCTGCTTTTTCCTCTTATTAACGACGATCTCACTGTATCGATGTTGTAGAGGGGACAAACAAGAAGAGACGGAAGAGTAATAAGAAGAGATCGCCGTTGTAGAATAATCTGATTCTGAATCTGAAGAAGCCGATGAGCAAGACGACCCCGTTTTAGCCACTTTTTTTGAAGTAGACGAGCTCATGCTTGGAGTATAGTCATGGAAATCGAGAGACAACTTGGAGAGACTCTCGTTGAGACAGAGAGAGCAGATTCCAGGAGACTGTCTGTGCTTCGGATGTTTCTTGCATATTGAGTAATTGCTGTCTGAAGAAGATTCTGACCTTTTCACAGTAAGATTCTTGGGTTTTGATTGATCTGTTGTTGTTCGTAATGATCTTCTGTTTCTGCTACTGATGAGGAAAACGTTAGCCATTGTTGTTGTCGTGACCTAATTTGTGTGTTTTGTTTCTCTTGTTCTCGCCGTTTCGTGTGTTGTGTTTGTGTTTATATAGAGGTGTGTGCAAGCTGGTTTATGATCTCTATTTGATGTTTCCGAGATATTTCTTTTTCTTTCTGTTATTATTTTTTATTTATAAAAAAGCTATAAAAAACACCGGTAACCGGTTCACTTTTATCATATTTTAGTGGAGTATAATTATTCAAAGTTGTTTACATTTAATTTAGTTTATTAAGAAATAAAAAAATGATAAATAAATTGTAAAAAGAATGAAAATATTGGGTCACTCTTCTATTATGTCCACCCAAAGGCCAAAGTACATATAATTATATCAAATTTTAAATAATATGTATGTTCTCATGAGATCAGATCAACTTTTTTTTTTTAGTCTAAAGAATACCAAATCAAATTCTAGGCTGATTTCCGATATGTAAACGATATAGTTTAGTTTTTCCTTCTTCTAATCTAATATACTAAAACGTAAGCAATAGCCGATATAAGCTCTCAGTACATAAATCTATTTTTTTTAATAAAACAGTAGACAACTATTTTAAATCGAGAAATTTGATCATCCAAATGTATAATCATAACCTTTCTAAATTAGTCGTATGGTCACCATCTCTTAGTTAAAAACACAAAACAAACGACATTATTCTGTTGTTGCGTCGGTTCGTATAGAGATCTGGAGTGGTTACAATGTTTATATATATAAATCATAAATGGACGGCTTAGATGTACGAGAGATCGAGTGGGTTCTCCACCTAATTAGGTGAGACGGTGGATCTTATGCTTTAAGGAGTATCATACTCAGAAGATGCTCTCACATACTAACACATGGCAATCTTGGTTTTTTTTTATTTCGTTCAAATTCAGTATCGCTTTTAAAAGATTTTAAAAGACCAAAACCATTCTACATGCATCAAGATTCATTTTAGTTTCTATATTCCGGTATAGTTCTGATCAATTAAGTTTATCCATATTATAAGACTCCTAATTTGAAAGATATGTAGATAAACAACACATACACATACACATACAACAAAATTTTCAACTAAGACAAAGCCGAAGCATAAAAAATAATGGCCCAATTAACAACCAAAGCCTCTAATGGAAAAGACAGGGCCCAAGCTGCACAAGGAATGGCCTGTGTGGTCGTGGGAATGTAACCAGCACCTCCGGTGAACGGGGTTGGTGTGGTGGTGCCACCTCCTACACCATTTGAAGAGGCCGACGCGACGGTGACGGCGAGCTTCATACCGGCGGCGCAATGGCCGGGGATCCCACAGATGAAGTAGCGAGGACCAGTGGTGTTGAGAGCTATGGTCGTTGTTCCGCTACTGTCGGATGTAATGGAGTTGCCTAAACTGCAACCCTTGTAGTCGTTCTCGCTGACTTCGTCCACCGTGTGACCAGCACCGTAGCTGAACACTGAGTAACACAATTGTAACATTATTAATGTTATCCAGGACAATTGTGAATCCATATGATTTGATTTTTTTTTTCGGTTTACATGCTCATTTTAATTACTACGTAAACAAAACCATAATATCATGCCAGTAAAATGAGATTAGTTTCCGGAATAGGGTTTTTTTTTGGGCTTTCTTTTCAACCTAATATATAAACATATATACGTAAAAAGGAAAAAAGGAAAGGTAATGGTGAGACAAAATAAGTCTCAAGAGAGTTAAGAGATGTGTCACCGATGGTATCTCCGACGGAGACGGTCTTTCCGGTGGTGAGCGGAGTGTAGTCGGTGCCAAGAGACCAGTTCACCGTAAGAGTGGCGGATGAGACAGCTGTGACCATATAGAAGAAGATGAGGACAAGGCAACCAAGAAGTTTGCTCATATTGTTTACTAGTATTCGTTAAATATAAGGGAATACTATTTTATAATGACAATTTCTTGTGACTTGTGCATGTATATATAGGTTGGAATGTGTTCTTTGTTAGAATTAGGTTTACTAGTCGATTACACTCATTAGTTAGGTTTTGGACTATTGGAGAGTTGGAAAAAGACTTTGTTTCCCCCTCTTGTATGTGATTATTATATACATTATTAACTATACTCAATACGCAATTGAAGTGATGAATATATGGAAGATAAGAAGATACATGAAATATATAACTTTTCTTTTGTTCTTGTCAACAATTCTATTTATTTAAATAGACATACTAATGCATAATTCGTTATCTGGATTTTTTTTGTAAATAATAAGATTGAAAAAGACATTGATTTAGGCTTACTCAACCTACAATCTAAGCTAATCAAAAGGTGGTCTTTGTGGTAATTACTTTTGAGAAAAATATATGATCGAGACACCATAACTAGTGATGTACAATTTTTATTTATTTTAATCATGAAGGTTATATTCAAAGTATTTTTGGGTTAAATTTACCAATGCAGGAAAGTTCAAGCTTACAGCTCTTACATGGGAATATAACATTTTCTTCCATACCACATTTCGGTAGTTAATCTTCCGCGAATTCATAAGTTGAGTGTTGACTCAAGCGTGCATGTGCATCAAATGCGGATCCGGCAATTTCCGAGCTTAGTTAAATGCGAATCTGACGAGCCACGAGTTTGAGCAACATGAAATACCATTGTACGGACGCGCCATATATTTTTTTGTTATCAGCTCTATTTGGCAGGCACAACATAAATAGAGATATTTTCACTTAGTATAGAAATGCCTATATGTTATCAAAAGCTGAATCATCCACTAATTCAAGTTCCAAATAATCAAATACAACTAACCTACATAATGGAACGTAAATAACCTAACTCACTTCTTAAAAAAGGTCCAGATATTAGGCCCATTTAACCCAAGCAAAATTGCACCCGGTTTAAAAAAATGTTTAAGATTTATGTGTTGAAGTCTGTTGTATGATTTGTTGTAGAAGTGTATGAGTGTTATAAAATCTCTCTGCCCTTCTCGGTATCTCAATCGCTTAGATTAGATTGAACGGACGATATGTGTTATATGGTTGGTGACTGGTGAGAATGAGATATGTAACTCCCTATTATATATTATATGATATATAACTATATGTATGGTGAGATATGTGTTTATATATATATGTATATATATATATATTAGACGATAGAGAGGAGAGGGAGAGATAGACGAGAGTGGAGAAAAAAATTGTTTCTCTTATTATTGATTCTGTTTCTCTCAGTTACATTAATACAATGTAGTAACTCATATATATAGAAGAGTAAGTCGGTTAAAGTTGGTAACTAACATCAGTAATGGATAATCCTCTTCTAGTTTTATAATATTTTCATTATTATTAATATTTTTCAGCGATTATATTGTTGTGAGGAATTTATAGTTTAGACCATTTAAGTCTCTAAAGATCTTAGCCAAAATAAAATAAAATAAAGTTTCTGGAAAGAGAACCAAAAATGCTGAAATCTTATATATAAAAGACAATCAATTTTCTCCAGCTGAATGCCACATCAGCATTGGAGAGGTTGACACCTGTCCATTTATAATTTTAATTAAAAAATAATTAATGAAATTTAAAGAAACACATTAAAGAATATGTATATAAATAAATTTATATAATAAACAAATTAAAATTTAATTTAAATATATTACAACTTATAAATATTATATAATACAAAACTTTTTAAATGCACCATTCTATTTTCTTTTTTCAAATGATTTAAATTTCATTTTTAACTAAAAAAATAATTAAATTTTAATGTGAGTGAAAAAAATTATGAAACTGAATATATTAAGAAGTTTCAAATAATCTTATATAAAACTCTAACTAATAAATTTATAAAACATAAAAATATTAATAAATGATTAAAGAGATTAAAAATATAAAAAATAATAGTAAAAAGAAGAGTGGATATATAAAAATGTCATCAATTGTTTTTTTTTGTACCAAAAAACCAAGAATCAATAAAATATATATAACAAAAAAACTCAAAATTGTATATTGAGAAAATTGACAAATATTATATTAGTAGGATTTACAACAGTAAAAAGAATATGAAGATGGAAGAATAAATAGATATTCCTCTCTGGTATTCAACTTATATTTTTATGTGAACTATTACATTTTTATACAGAAATTAAATAGTAGGTTTTTAATTCTTTATTATAATGAGAGAAATTTTGGACTATTTCGTACAACTGGTGTAAAAAAATTACAAATAATATGTTATAAAAAAATCAAAGAAAATATAAATATTTTAAAGGCAAAAAATTAATAATAAAAATAAAATTTAATAAAATTTTTTAAAATGTATAATTTAAGATATAAATTAAAATAAAACCGCACATACGCGCAGGTTCTCTCCTAGTTTATATTTAATCAGTCTTATGACATTGAACTCACCGATCATGTATAAGCCCAACCCAATATTCTAAACTGCATTGTTAATAATAAGCCCAAATCAGATGAAAATCACTTTATTTGTTGACAATAACGTCATTGTTAGCTGTTCCCTCTTGGGAAGCTGCTCCCCATTCGCAGGAAGCTGCTCCCCATTCGCACTCGCAGAGAGTCGAGTTTATTTCAAACTTACTTTGCAACAGTCAAACTTTAGAAAAAATCATTTCTCTTGCGTAAGTTTTTTTCTCTTTCTTCCATTAAGTTTCTTTCTCTTTGTTTCGATTTAGGGTTTTTGTTCGTTCCCATTTTCTTGACTTCTTGGTTTTTTGAAATCAAATCTATAGGAAGTTTTCTCCCTGGACTATGAGTGACAAAGAGATAACACCATGGAGGGTGATAAGAAAAGCAAGGGGAAAATGAAGGACAAAAGGGAAATGAAGTACAAAAGACAACATGAGAATCATATCAAACTGAGACTGAGCGTACATGACTCGATGGAAAAACATATGTTTTTATCGGCAGCTTTCTTCGCCAGCAAGCTCACTCCCCGAGAAGACGACAAGTAAAAAAAATAAAAGTTTTGATTGGTAAATTTTTTTTTTCATGACTCCTTATATTTTTAAATAAAGTTGGTTCTGAATACAAATTTAAGTTTACAAATTTTAGAATTCCAAACTTTTTAAAGATTTAATTAGTTTAGTAAAGTGTGGCAAATTATCAAAATTTCATGCACAATAATTGTGCACATTTTCCATGAAAATGTTGATTATTCGGAGGAACTGGTCAAAGAAACTTATGAAAGAGAATCAAGGCTGTAGAATCAGGAGCACTAAATGCTGACATCTGGTGCTATGAAGCGGTTGTAAACATTATTTCAATATTGTCACTTGAACAGCAGGTGGTATTTATCTTTCCACTACTCAGGAAATCATATATGGAGGGTTGGGATCGTCCTCTCTATTCATCTCTGATAAGTAAGGTAAAAATTGTGCTAATAAGTTTCAATGTCTTACTGAGCCGGCTAGCGAATCTCGACATAATTATTATAATAAATTGAAATATGATTTTATTTTTATAGGAGAATGTCGTTGAGGATGAGAAGATGCCAACTTCTTTGTTTGCAAGGACTCCCACGAAAATATTGTGGGACCTTGAAAACATGTCTGTCTACATTCATTTGGCTTACATGAATGAGAATCTTCAAGCGCTTGGAAGATTTAGGCTACACTGGTGAAGTCTCCATTACAATTGTTGTTAGTTTAGAGAGCAGAGTTCGAGATATTGTATTGGCACACCAGAATGAGGAGGAGATGCTTGGGCAGATAACCTTTGTCAAGGTTGGTTCAGGATCAAAGCAGGCCAGCGACAACATGATAAGAACTCTTATGGATAGCTGGTCTAAGGAGAATGAAACTCCCAATAACCTGTGGATCATAGCAGGAGATGGAGACTTCCATCTAAACTTGCACAAACTCCAAAATCTGCATCACAACATCACTGTGGTATATCGAGAGAAGAGTGTTGCAGATAAGATGAAATGAGTTGGATATGCTCATTGGGAGTGGAGGGGCGATTTGTTAAGAGATAACAACATGGAAGAATGAGAAACTATCGCCAGTTTAATTCCATTGCCATTGGCTTTGCTATATGTATTTATATCCATCGTTATATGGCTTAGCGCCTGATGCACTTGCAAAATACTCTTGCGTTCTACTTTTAATTTATTGGGATCTTAATTTATTTTTTGATTTTGCTTGTGATTTTTGGGCTCCATTATTGTTATTCTTCTTTCAATTTTCTTCTAGGGTTTAGTCTCTAAATAGGATTTTCCGATCAATTTATCTTTTACTTGATTGGAGGCTCCCAATCTTCCTGCAATTCTCTTTTTTTTTGTCACATCCCAGGTGGTAGATTTAAGGTTTCAGTTTTTTTTTGCTATTGTGTGCTCTGATAAAGATAGGAAGGTTTCTACTAGTCTTATATCTCTTTTGTGTTCTCTTTTGGTTTCTAGTAATCTTATATTTCTTTTAGGGAAAAATACCAAAAAAACCTTCAACTCACAATTTTCAGCCAAAGAAATCACCAACTACTCGGTGGACTAAATAAATCTTTAACTTTTTTTACTAATCCGTTTAATCCTCAACTTTGTTTGACCAAACCATTTTAGACCCAACGTTAGTCAACATTTATAGTTAACTAACGATAGGACTATAATGGCTTGTTTAATAAAAGTTATGAATTTTTTGAAAATAAAATGGGAAAAATGCCAAAAAAACCTTCAACTCATAACTTTCAGCAAAAAAACACCAACTACTCAATGGACTAAATAAATCTTTAACTTTTTTTAACTAATTCGTTTAATCCTCAACTTTGTTTGACCAAGCCGTTTTAGACCCAATGTTAGTTAACAATTATAGTTGACTAACGATATGACTAACTACTTTATAATATAATGACTAACATTGGATCTAAAACGGTTGGTCAAAAAAAAAATTGAAGATTAAACGGATTAGTCAAAAAAAGTTAAAGATTTATTTGATTCACCGAGTAGTTGGTGGTTTTTTTGGCTGAAAGTTGTGAGTTGATGGTTTTTTTTTGCATTTCTCTCTATGTAGATGATTAGATTCCCAATTAATTTGTTGTAACAATTAAATTTTGTTTATCTCTAGGCTCAATTTGAGATTTTCATGTTGTTCCAATAGAATTTCAAAAATTCATTTTCACCACTACTAATCCTTAATAGGTTCATGCATCAGCTGGAATTTAACATGTTTTTAGTTTCTGACTATTGAATAATTCGACATCTGAATAAGTACAAGGGGCATTACAAATTAGTCCATATCATGAATACATTTGGCTCCCATTTTTATGTTTTTTTTTTATTTGTTTCCTTGCCCATTTTATGTTCAAAGAGATAGTGGATGAATACAGTTATAAATACAATAAACAAACAAAAAAGATAAAGAGAAAGCTGCAAGATTGTCAATCTAAGCTCAAAACATAAAAAAGCTGCCGAAGAGAACAGTCGGCTATATTTTGAAGTTTTTCTTATTTAGACATAGTGAAAAGCTTTTCACATAAGAAGTTTGAAGCATACCTATGGGCTCTACTTTTTGCTTTTTAACCCCAAAAGTGAATAGAGGTTCCATGTTCTTTGATGGGTCTTCATGATAAGACAATGATCATCATCTCTCTTCTTCCATGAATCCCACGTACCTATGATTTTGTGTCCCAGTTTAACTAGTCTATTCATTACATGGATTGTTTTTACTTAATAGGATCACTCTGAATTTCTACAAAAAACTGACAAATTATAAGAAGGTCTAAAAATGGAGAAAAATCATTTTTCTTATTACATTTTGAGTTTTTACAGAAGATATTGTTGTTAGTGTGAACTACCTAGTTTCCAGTCGTTACTTACTAATTTTTTCAGTACATGGTCAATTTTCTTTGTGTGTACGTGTGGGTGTGTGTGTGTTTTATATCTTCTTTGATAAACTGTAATACTATATATCTTCTTAGCTTGTGTTGAATTACATATTAGAAACTGATTCGAAAGCATATATCGGTGAGCCAATCACAAAAGAGTTACAAGATTCAAACTTTTCATAATAGCGTATCAGTTGTGTGACGAGCTAGGATGATCATCGACTTGAGACCTAACATCTAAGGATTAAATTTTAAACTGTTAACTTTACAAAACTATCTATTGAAAATGTGTAGTCTGAGTATTGGAGGGTTTAGTGGGTTTGTGTATATAGAGTTTTCAATCATATGGTTCATATCTCGAGGGGAATAGTTTATGCGTTTTTTTGTTATGGTCGGCTAAATGATAAAGATGTAACCTACATAAAAAAGAAATATGACCTTTAATCTTATTTGTTGGATCTTTACATACATATTCGCATTCAATAAAAGCATATATTGTCCACTATCACAGGAGAATGTTCAAAATTTGGTGGCTAAAGGGTTAAAAAGTTGAACCCACAAATTTTCAAAGTTCCAGAGAAAAGGATGAAAACCTTTTTGAAAAAAAACAAAGAGAGCCATAACTTAGTTATTTTTAACCCTCATAGAGAACACTGAGAGGATTATTAGCCAGGCGTAGAAAATGGCCATTGGCGCCCAATGTCACATAGCTATCAACTAAACCCATTTTAGATTTTTTTTGTTTCAACCTTTGCTTCAAATTATATTTTATGACATAGAATGACAACCGATTCATTACAGGAGACAAAAAACGCAACTTATATAAAAAGAGAAACACTGGAAAAAGTACGTAAACTAGAGAATTTTGAATCTCAAAAGAAATATATAAAAAGAAAAAGTAAACATTAGAAATTAATTATTTTAATCTATAAGCTAAATTATGACTCTTCTTGAATCCTCCTTATAATTTGATTCAAAGCTGTGGCAATATCGTCTACCGTATTTAGTTGGCTCCCTTCTTCAACCTAAACAATCCATTTTTCTTTGTTAAAAGAATAAATATGTATAACAATTCTTGAAAAAGGTTAAAGCTGCCAAAACAAATCTACAAATATTTTACAATAAAAGATCTATTTTGTTAAGAAACGAGCTGATGAATGTCTCCTGAAAGAAAGTGGTGGCCTAACTTTTGTTGTCCGTACACGTTGCATCTATAATTCTATGACCACCAAACATCCACACTACATATATACACATGTATATATACGTACATATGTAACTCGTGCACATAGATCGACACATATTCGTGTTTCATTTTTTAGGTTGGTCCCCAGCTGACTCTAATTACAAGCACCATTTTGATACTCAGTTTATCTTAAAATAAGTACTATATTCAAACGATGCAATGTAACCAAAGTAAGAAAGAAAAAAAAAAACAAAGAGAATGATTTTAATTTTTCTTTGCAACCTCTTTAAAGCCCAGACATAACTATAACTAGTACTAATCCATTTTTTTTCCTCAACAGTATAAGAGACAACAAAAAAGTAAATCAACAAATTCAAAATCATATGCACCCTCAGCAATCAATCACGCTAATCTCATGAATAACTCAAAATCAAGCAAGAGTAGAATACAATAAAAAAGTGGAAGAATGTATACGTACCTTTACGCTGATGGAGTAGAGAATCAAGTTGTCGAGAGTGGTAACATTTAGATGAAGAAGAGTGAGTCTTAGGCTCTGTATCGAAGCTACGAGCTTAAGAAGCTGCCTCGGCTTCTTCTTCACCATTATCTTGATGTTGGCGTGGCCTTCAGCCATCGTCACTTCTATCTCCGCCGGCGAAGATGAGCTTTCCGTTACTGATGATGACTTTGTCGAGTATTGAGGGAAAGAGAAGAAATCTGAGAAGGGACCCACTAACGAGCTAGTGCTAGTGTTGGCTTCATGTGTCGTGGTCGTGGTCGTATTGGGCTCCAAAGATTGTAAGATGTGCTCTAACTCCTTCACGTAGTTAATGGCTCCTCCTACTATCGACGCTTGATCTCCCTTTACCACCAGAAAAAAGAAAACATGTTCAGATCGAATATATATGTTTGCGATTCATAAAAGATTTGAACAAATCTTTGAACGTTACATAATTAGATACCCACGTATCATGGCATACAAGTCTAAAATTGATATATTTTTGTTTTTTTTGTTTAATAAACTGTATAGAAAAATCCGAATAAAATTAATCATATACTCATTTAAAAAAAATTGTCGCATATTTTCTTTGTTAAATACTAAAATTTATATCACAAAAAGATATATATGCATCACCTTGCATACAAGTTAATATGGTAGATGTTCTTGCCAATAGATTACGGAATCCATCTACTAATTCTTTGATTCCAGTTACTATTAGTAAGAGGGATCTTGAACTAAGAAATAGATCCTAGAAGCTAAAAAGTTATGATAAAAGACATCCAAATATACTCAATCATTCTCATACTTTTTCTTTGTTATATAATGTCTATGAAAATTACTATTTTTATTTATTTGGTTTGAAGCAACCTCAAATACGTAAAATCTGAGTCCTATTGCCAAGGAAGTAAAACAAGGGACACATAAATTTGAAGGACCGAAGAAGAAGAGTGACCAAATGATATATATATATATATAGTATATAGATATATGTATATGTGCGTGAGACAGTAAGAGTATTTAAAGACTAAATTACCCTTTGAGCATATGACGACGGCATTAGAGAGCGCAGAACAGCGAGGTACTCGTTCATCTGTTTCCGGCGATTTCTCTCGACGGCGATATGAGTCATTCTCTGGTTCTCTATCTCTTCTTTGTTCTTGTTGCATCTAGTTCTCCTCCGCTTCCTCCTCTGCTGCAAAGGAGGATGCTTCTCCATATCAATGGGAAGACCAAGCTCTTCTTCCAACGAAGTGTTTAAAGGGTACTGATGATGGTAGTCTCGCCATTGAAGATCTTCCTCCTTATCGTTTTCCACAAAGCTCTGTTCTTGACCTAACTTATCAATGTTCTTCTTCGTATCTTGAGCTACTACCTCTTCTTGATAGTATAAGTCGTGGAACATGAAATCTTTGCAATTAGAGAGGTACCCGTATGGATCTTGCGGGTACAAGATAGATTCTAAGGGCATTGTTGGAGCCAGAGATTGTTAAAAAGTTCAACTCAAAAATATGAAAAGAAGTGATCGAGAAATCGAGAGAAAGAGAGGAAACAACAAAATTATGACAGAAAGTGTTTGTCGCTCTCTTTTTTTGTCTTGAAGGGGAAATAAAGGCAAAAGGTTAAGACCCACTAAGAAATTCTACGCTTGTAATTAACTATATAAAGATTCTATTAAAATTGATTTTACAAACTATTAAACTCTCAAGAACTCACCGGCATGAAGGAAGATAGGAGAAGGAGAGTCATGAATCTTTAACAAATAAACAAAAAAAAAAAAAGATTAGGAATGTGAAAGAGGAAGTATGAAGATATCATATAAAGTGTTGTGTCTATTTATTTGGGGACTCTTGCGGTTCGGTCGATGGAGAGAAGCTTTGTCAGGCTATATAGCTAATTAAAATATCTTTAGAAGCTCCCAACAAAAAACAAAGGCTCCCAAAGAAATCCAAAACGAAAACAAACTACAAAATAAAGAGGAGATAAAGTGCAATTGTAATAATTCCAATATGGAAATAGCTTTTCCATAATACTTTTTTATCATATATAACTTTATATTGATAAAATAGTAAATATACTATTAAAATGTTAATTAGTTTTTGGGAACTATTCCTAATTTTTTTGTAGATAAGTATTTTAATTCAAAGTTACTGTATTTAAGAAGAAATTATCTGTATTAAGAAATAATTTAGGTGGTTATGTAGATGGGAAGTGGTTTATCTTGACGTGCAAGGAAACAAAAATCATAGTGAATTAGTGATCATAACAAATCAAAACCTTTTAACTTTTGTGTATTTATCTGAATAGTATACCGGCTATGAGGTGAGTGAAACTGATCAAACCGGTGTTAGATGTGCGAACGCCATACAAATGGAAATGGTGATGACGAAACTAGATCGTTAGTGTTAATGTGTGTCATGTTGCGGATTCACGTTTTTTTTCAACAAAAGTTAAGACATGAAATTCTAGAATTTTACTACTAGTTTTTTTTTGCATTAAGAGATTTGGAATTTTAAAAAAAAAAATGTACTCGAAAAAGTGAGTGGCTAGCTTTTTAATAAAAAGAAACAACCAGAGGTGAACATATTTCATTTGGACAATATAAAATGTAAAGCATTCTATCTATTTAGTGGGTTTTAACTTTGTGTTCATATTTTTATTTGAATGTTTACGTTCTGTACTTAACTTTTAGGTTTCCTCATCCACATTTTGTACCAATTTGTCGGTCTAAAATTCTACCAGGAAACCTTATATTATCCGTCAAGTTACGTGGAATTAAATTCACTAATCCGCTTGAATCTATGGTTACTAATTTTCTTAAATCTTAATCTATGGTTACAAATTACCATTTAGATACATAGAGGGACATATTTAGATACATAGAGGGACATATAGCGTACAAGTTCGCACGTGTGATTGTAGACCGGTCCACAAGACCAAAGAAAGAGGGATTCTGTTTGCAGGCTTTGGGTCGTCTCGTAACAATCAAGCTCGATTTAACTTAAACAAACAAATAATTTATTTCATATAAAATAAATGGCTTTAGTATTCGATTAAACTGGCCATAATATAAACCAATAATCCCCACTTAATTTTTACAAAAAAAAGAACCACCACCGAAATACAACTGTATATAGATGTTAAAAATAAACAATAAAACAACCAAACAATAAAACAATCAAGCCTAATGCCAGGTTTAACAAATTTTTTTTTGGTATGAATGTTAAGCCAGGTTTAACAAATTTGTTCCCGATGTTATAAAATCTTAAGTCTAGATGTCCAGTTGACATCAATGACATGTAAAAAAGTTAGCACAAGTTATGCATTTATAAACCTTTTTAAATATCAAACATACAAAAAAAATTAAAATTACAAGGTTCAAAAAAAAAAAATTAAAATTAGGTGGCATCTATGATTATTCTGTCTAATCACTCTGGGAATATACATCAGTTTTTTTAATAGTTATAACCTTATTTTAATCTGAAAAAATTGTTGAAAAATTAGACAGATGTGAGATGTGACTAGGGCTGCGTTATGTAATCAAATTGGTGGGACACTTGGGGGGGGAACTTAAAATCTGAACCAAAAATAAATCAAATGTGAACATAAAACTTCAGGACAAAATTTCATGATGATACAAAGAATCTTATTGGATGCACTTGAAATGAATTTTCAGCTGTAGTAATCTTGTCTCCTTTGAATCCGTGTACCTAAATCGAAACAATATTTTATTGGTAAAATTTTCTAAATATCTAAATATTTGTTTCGATCACTCCTTTCTGTTTTTTTTCACAAAATAGTATGAAATTATGAATTACGTATTTTTAGTCATTTTTGTTAATCATTTATGCAAAAGTAATATTTAGGGGATGGTGATGTGTTTCGCACGAATGATATTTATTTTGCATTATCATACAAGAGTTTTTTTTTGGCTTTTAGATGTTTTAAAGTGAAGTTCGTTTTAGGAAAAAAGGTAAAATAAAATAAGAGGAGAAGCCATGAGAATAAGTCCAGAAGAGTCCATGTGACTTCACAAGTTTCTCTTTTATTGTCTCTCAGGTACTTTCCCAAGAATACAGCTTACACTTTTCCAATGGGCTTGTTTTCTCATGCCATCCTCCGAATCATTTCTTCCTTTTCCCTTATCATTGTTATCTTTCTCCTTAATTATTTTTATATAAAAATCAAAATAATTAGTTATATGTATGCATATGTATTTATACTAAAATTATCATGCAATATAAATTTCAATCATGTGTAAAAAAGTTAAACCAAAAACAATTTTCGAACATAATTAAAACAAAAAATTAAATGCATATCCAAAGATTTTAAAATTTTCAAAATTTTAATAAACGGATAACGGATAACGGATATCCGATTTTAAAATTTTCTATTATCCGGATCCGTATCCGAAATAACCGAATACTTAATTTCACTATCCGGATCCAGATCCGAACTACACGAATATCCGATTTTTACGGATCGAATAGGACCGGATACCGGATCGGATAGCGGATACCGGATAATAATTCCAGCCCTAATATGTACAGTCCTTCCATTTTTGGCAAAATATCTGTTTTTGACTCCATTTCAAGGTTTGTTAAGATAAATGCTTATTATTTTCTTTGCAGATAAGTTCTTTATTTTATCTGAAAATATTGTGAATATTGACAGTTTTTACTATATATATATATATATATATATATATATATATATATATATATACAGTCTTAGCCATTGTATTTGATCCCATCGTAAGCCTCCATATCAATTCAAGTCGCATTAAAAATGTTTTATTTAGTTTAAACAAACTCAAATAAAACATATTGCATAGCGTAGCACATCTAATACTAATCAAGTTATCAAACATTCAATCTACCGTATGTACAAAATAATTTTTGTTAATCTTTATTATTTTCAATCGGATAGTAAGTTTTAGTCAATATTTTTGAAGAGATCAAAATCAAGTAAAGTTAGATGAAATAAAAATAATAATAATAAAAAATAATAATAAATCATGTCTAGTGAGTTTGATAAGGATATAATAATATATGATATACAAGTTTTTGTGTGAATATTGCTGCATATTTTGCAAAATTTATTGAACAAAAAGAAACCTGTGTTACAACTCCCAACAAATACTACATGTCCTATAAATTAAATTCAAAATTTAGAAATAGGGTCTTACTACATAGTCTATTTTTGTGTCAAACCAACATCAGACATTCTTCATAATTTTTCTTTTAAATTTCCAATTGAACTAAGGGGGGTTTTGATGTTTTTGTTGGTGGAGCGATTTGTTTTGTTAGTTCTGTTAACATGCTAAAATTAATATCTAATATAAATATTAACCCATTATTCTGTATTGTTTTATTTGATTAAATTATCGATGTTTTATATTGTAATTTATTTTAATTGATTGTAGGAATCCACTTTTTCTTAGATGTTATGGCTTTTTCTTGATTGTTCAATGTATTTGGGGGGTCTTTGGATTAGTAATATTTTCTTCTCTACGTAATAATTTAAATAGTGTAGGTTTCTTTATTTATGTCAAGAATTATAACTTTACTAAATTAGTAGCATCCCGTAATGATTCCCTTTACATTATCTTATATCCCTTCCATTTTACAGTAAATGTTATTATATGCTAATTGTTTTCCTTTTTAAAATCTTACTTTTCAACTTCAATGTAAATTTTGATATGAAAATATCAGTTTTTACTCACTAAAAAAATGTAAAAATATAATAGGAATTTAAGCATCAATTTTTTAAAAAATATATATTTACATTAATTTTGTTTTTTTGATAATGGTGAAACGATAATTATATTGAAACGAAGAGAATATGACATTCTTTATAATTTAACAATTAATTCAGGTAGTTGACAAAAAACAATTAGTTTGACCGAAGGACAACTATGGCGTGTTTGATATAGCTATGATAAAATACAATTTTTTCTTATGATATAAAATAAAAATATTTTAGTCTCTGAAATCCCAACTACGATCCTTATGAACTGGCTGTATTTATCACCAACCACGTCAGATTATCATATTTCTCTACAAATTGCATTAACCTACCATTTAGTAATTAGCCAAAACGCGAACTTAATATGTACAAAAGTAACCAATAATTCTCTGCAGAGAGAAAAAGAAGAAAAATAAATAGAGGAAACTGAGAATACAGTAATTCTCCGCGACACGGTGCAGGTTTTTGGTTGTCGTATGTATACAGACGCACACTCTTCTAGTTCTCATCTAATGTCTATTTATTTTAGAAGTATTTAAATGAATTGAAAAGAGAATTTGTATTTGTAATTGATTATTGATGTTTCGGTAAAGATCAATGTGATTGTTTAATACGTGTTTAGTAAATGAAATGATTCGTGAATCGTGATGCTCTGGCCATAACTTGGTCGGATTGTGACAACTTTTTAGTCTTAGTAAAGATTCATGATTTTTTTTAATCACTGTTGTTGTCAGTAGACTCATATTTCTTCTCTATTATTCGTTCGTGGTTTGTTTTATTTTTTTCAAGAAATTCGCAAAGATTTGATCACTGGTTCTGGGTCACATATTAGTATATTACAGATAGTTTTTGTAACTCAAACTAGATTAACTTTATAAAGATTCTTAAGAAAACTGTTAAAAAAAAAAACAGATGTACAATTTACTGATATACGGGACCGAACCATTTCTTT